TACTACCTGTACTTAATGCAAAAATCAAACGTCTAGAAGAATATGAAAAACAAACAACAAAGCTAAATGGCCAGATAAATACTATGATCAAAACAATAGACTCTGTAGCTATGATAATAATGTAAAGACCTTATATTGTGATTAGCAGTGATATACACGGATACTGTTCATGCATATTTTCCAGATACAGACATATTTGGATATTGTCCAATGTCCACGTCTGCCCATGTGTCCAAACTTACAAATTGTTATCGGACATTATCCAAAATAAATGGCGAATACCGGACGTCCGGCGAATATTGTCCACCGGACATTGTCTAATGTCCAAGTATTTTATTGGTCAAATACGAATTTTTACTATTGTTATACCCAGAGTTAGGAAAGCAATACTTAATTAAACTTTTAGGTAGCTGTACATGTGCCTAAATTGCATATCTTAATAAGTAATTACGGCATTTAGACAGCCGAAATTAGTCTTATATAGTGCCAAAATTATTGTCGATTGAATGCTTTTCATCAAAATAGATCATATAGTATAATTGTTTCAGAGAGTTTCATAAAAAAAATTTAGCAGTGCCAAATGTTTGCTGAAAATACTTTTTTTTAAAAATAATTTAGATACAGATAGATATTTTATAAGGGATTCAGATTTAATGATGATTATTAAGAAAAGTATTTAGTTGATAAATAAGGGTATTTTGCAACAAATATCATTTCTTTATTAGTTTAAGCGTCATATTTATACATTTTTAATCATATTCTATCCTGACCTTACTATAACCCTAACCCTACTTTAATCTCTAATCTACTAAATAATCCTAAACTGGCATCACATTACAAAGAAACCACTAATATCTATCAAAAAAAATACATATAAATAATACCATTGTAATATTAATTAGCATCACGAAGGTAGTAATAACGAAACGAAACAACAGCACCAAAGAAAATAAAAATGTCATCAACATACATCAACACCAACAAACGATAGATAGCTAGAGCAAAAAAAAAATACACCAGCATACAAAACTCCAAAGTGATTTAGAAGATACCACAAGGAAGAAAAGCCAAAAAAAAAAAAACTTGATAAATATATATATATATATGCATATATATATATATATATATAAGCAGTGAAAGCCAAACCACTAATGATACTACTAACGATACTACTAACGATACTACTAACGATACTACTAATGATACTGAGACTACGATAAAATCATGACTACTGGCATAACAACCATCAACGATATTGACTAAAATCCACAGCGAAATCACAACCAACAACAAACCGAAATGACAATACCAAAGAAAATGAAAAATGTTACCAACATACATCAAGATGGAAAGAAAACTAAAAAAAAAAAAAAAAAATAGATTAGTGCTTAATAAATATATATATATGTGGCAAAGGCCAAACCAACAGTACTATTAATGATACTGAGAAACATGGCGAAATCATGACCACCTATGAACTACTATTGACGATATGGCAAAATCACAACGAAATCATAACTACCTACATATATTATATATTTTATCCTAGAATACTTTCATGGATCGCGCTATCTGCCCTCACATTAAAAGAGATGGATCCATATGCGGAAATAAATGCTGACGACCTACGGGTTGTTACAGACATTGGAGTTTACATGAGCGAAATATAGAGAAATTCCTCTGCGATATTTGTGGAAAACCTACTATATTCATTACAGGATATTGTCCAAAACATTCTGGTTGATTTCATTCATTGAATTATCAGATAAGACAAAAAGGGCCTATTTCCCAAGATAATACAGAACATCGAAGCTTTGCTTCTTCTGAGTAGGCTCGAAGAAAAGGTAAAACCTCGAATTTCCAATTCATCGCCTACAATAGATAAAATTTTTAGTATATGACATTTTAGGTAACACAAAAATCCCTTCTGTGATATAATATAGCCATGGGGACAAATTTTTTCCAATCGCGTTTTTTAAGCATCACAAAAACTCCTTTTGTAAGATATATTATAGGCCATTATTAAATAGATACATATATTAACAGATATCAAACATATCCTGACGCAACTGTATGTCAGAACTGGGAGCGATCTCTAGTTC